GCACCCTTAATTTACAGAGAAAAGAAGGTCAGGGACAAATCTGTAGATGGAAAAATCTCCATACAAGTTTTTTTTTTTGCATTTTTCTTTTTTTCTACTTGTTATTTTGCACTTTTTGTTAGAAAATGTTTATTTACTATTTATTCAGGTTATACTTAATTTCCATGATCTAAATATTCTTAAAAATTTAAAGTTTGTTGTCATTTGGAAGTGTGTAGGCCTTCTTGCATTATTATGCTGTTACATTATGATTATATATTCAGTGGCATAAAATGGTCTTTAAAATTACAATAATATCACTTATCGCAATTATTTCTGGGGCAATATATCACACAACAAAAAGTTGTTATCGTGACAGGCCTATTTGGAAGTCATTTGTTTTTTTATTTATTTTATTTGTAAATTGTTTTTTTTGTTTTTTTACTTTGAATAAATGAATATATTTATTTGTGTTCATGTCTTCCTCTGACAGCTTTCTCTAGCCAGCCTTTATTAAGCTATGAGTATGCCTAGGCTATGCATTCCCTACCACTCCTGTTACAAGGAAATTAATAATTTTATTATTGTGAATATGTTCTTTTGAATCTATTCTTTAATATGATATACGTTTCAAGGTGGTTTATTCATATTTAAGTAGTCTAATGGCCGTGATCCTGACTAGTTGGTTATTGTCGCTTGCACTGGCCGCTCAAGCAGCTAACCGATTCTCTACCACTGTGTCTGCAAGGAAATATACTATGTTATGATTATTAATATATTCTTATGTCTATTCTTGTAAACATGTACTTGTATCGCAACTAAAGTGCTCAAATGGCCGTCATCCCGACTGGTGGGTTAGCCTACTGCCACTTCAGTGCAGCCAGTGCACTCCATAAAACGTCTATCATTTAAAAGAATAAAGTCATATGAACAGATGTACAATAAAAAAAAATAATAATAATAATAGTATTCCCGGAGCTAGAGTGGAAGGAGAGCAAAACATAAATCTGCCATAAATCAATGGTCCTCCTGACAGTGGACTGCCAGCCGCCAGGCAGCCAACCACTGGCAGGTCACGTGAACTGGTGCTGCCAGCCAGTTAGGGATTGAACCCCTAATGTGAGAAAATGAAACAGTTTCATTAAAACACATTATACATCACAAAGGACATATTTAACAAACGCATAGCTGAGATCTAGCTATGTATCTGCCACAGCATAAATTCATGGACAAAAAGACATCTGGTTCGAAATAAACATTAAAAAGTCCTTTATGTTGTACTGAATGTAAAATACTTCCATTGCATCAATGAAATTCCGCCCATTACTAGACTCACTAGAGAACTAGACTACATTCAGCGAGAAATTTAGCCTATGACGGGGATTTTATAGAGCAACAAATGGGCTAGTTCCGTGATGTATTATCAAGATAAACATGATAACCACACCCAGACCACGTTCCCGAGCCTGTTCATATACTCCCTCCCACCCCAAAAAATGCACCGTTTAGTTATGTAAACAAAGTCCAACTCACCCGAATTCACCATCCTGAAGTCCTTCTTTCAGATTAAGTCATAATTAAGGGTTTGAGATGTTCAAAGATCTTCTCCTCTTACCGTGCTTCTCAGGCTGTCTTCCTCTTTCCCGTTCACCTGCGTGCATGGCCACACCCTGTCCGCTCACGCACCTGTCCTGACCGCCCTGCAGGTGTCGCTGTATACCAGGAAGAAGAGCCTTCAACCTCAAAGGCACAAATACTTACAAATATCAAAATCGTTGCAAAATACAAGTCGGTACAAAACAAAAAGTAAAATAAATAAATGTTAATTTACTTTTATACATTTTAGGAATGAAAAATAATTACCAATAACATTTATTCAAGAAAAAAAAAGCAAAATAAGGTTTAGGGTTTCACATTTATGAATGACAAAATTGGTAATTACTTCTGGAAATGCTGTCTAATTCATTTTTTAAAAATAAACTAGATTTTATTAATTTGTTTTGTTGTGGATGCATAAAAACAAAAAACCCAATCACCTGAATTAATGTCAGCCAGTCTGTTAATCACAGTAATTTGATGAAGTAAACCTGAACACCTGGACTTAATCACCTGACTCTCATTAATGCATTAATCTGTGCAGCCTGAACCTCCTCACAGCCTGAGTTTTTAGGAAGGTCTGCAAGACAAGGAGAGTTGCTGTATACATTTTTCTTCATTGGTTCTCTCTCAGGTTAAGGCTGTAGGATGGGGATGGCGGCGGTTTTTGTCGTTTTCTGTTGCACAATAGTGTCTCTAGCGCTGCCTGTTACAGCTAACGGAGATTATTTTAATGGGCACTTCGCAGCGTACTCGCCAGGAATCATTCATGATGTCTGGCGTGTTCCTGACCTCGCAAAACATTTCCTGAATGAAATTCCTCAGCCTCACAATTTTGATGGATTTGTACCGGTGTTCCCAATGCAATATGATATTCAGGCCCTACTGGAAAGTTTTTCATTAAGGATCATGAATTGTACGTCATTAAAACACTACTAAATCTATTAGACAAAGTTAGTATCTAATACTTGCTTTTAATGTTTATTTTGCTCTAGCATCTTGGAGCGGTCCAGCAGATACTAATGTGTTCCACAAAGGAGAGCAGTTGTATCTGCAGGTGTCTGCCTCACCTGCACCTGGTCAACAGCTTTATGTCCAGTCCTGCCATGCTTCCTCTTCTCTAAACCATGCAGACAAACCTGAAGTCGCCCTTATCATTAACAAAGGGTAGATCAACTTAACAAACATTATTTTGAGTACACTTGCTCCCTGGAATAATTTCACCTTCATTTTTATGTTTGCCAGATGTGTGGCCTCCAAAGAGTCCTTGGTGAGGTTTGTGTTGCAACAGCGTGACCGAGTAAATTTGGTTGTTCGTACATCCACCTTCAAGTCTTCTGAGGTGAGTGTTCATTGACCGTTATGATGACTGTGGTCTTACAAACTGACAGAAGTTTGATCTGTAATGCTCGCCTGTTTTCTTTAGAGTTACATTCACTGCAGAGTCTATCTTACTGATTTGGGTCTGACCTCTACCACTAAATTCTGCAACTACAACAAGCTTAAGTCCAGGTAAGTGTTTAAATCTCTTACTCCTTATAAGGTCTTTGTCCTAATAGGCTTTTGGAACTTAAAAAAAAAAATGCTGTTTGTTTTCAGATGGGTTGACCTGGGTGGCCAAACCTCAGTATGTGATTGTTGTGGGAGAAGGTGCAGGAGCTTAACTGAGCATGCAGAACTGCCTGGTTGGTGATGGGTACTTGGGGGTTTTTTTTGTTTAAAATGTCAGGGTAAAAACATTTTAGTTGTCCATTTTTATTTTATTCCTTCCAAACCAACGGTTTCTGTGACATTGTTGCAAATGCTGTAGATTTGTCACTAAGAAAAGCTGCTGGCTGGCTAGTTCTTGTGTCTTGAAAGTATTAGTACAAGTGTCTTAGAATATATCCAAAACCTTACTGTTTGGAATATAGTTTTGTTTTTCAGTAAAGGGGTTGGTGAATTTGAGTTGCATTGGCTGCTTAATTTCTAGCTTGTTGGCCTGCATATGTTGAGGGTATATACTAAGTTATTCACAAATTAATGTAAATGCATGTCTTGGTGAACAGTTTTGTAAAGGTCAAACTTTCTTTTATATATATATTTTTATATATATGTATATAATTAGTGAACATTAACTGTCTCGCTTGTTAATGTTAGTTATGGCTTAGTTCATTTTTTTTTTTTTTTTTTGTTGTCTATTTTATTTTTATTTTATTCCTTCCAAACCAACGGTTTCTGTGACATTGTTGCAAATGCTGTAGATTTGTCACTAAGAAAAGCTGCTGGCTGGCTAGTTCTTGTGTCTTGAAAGTATTAGTACAAGTGTCGTAGAATATATCCAAAACCTTACTGTTTGGAATAGTTTTGTTTTTCAGTAAAGGGGTTTGTGAATTTGAGTTGCGTTGGCTGCTTAATTTCTAGTTTGTTGGCCTGCATATGTTGAGGGTATATACACTAAGTTATTCACAAATTAATGTAAATGCATGTCTTGGTGAACAGTTTTGTAAAGGTCAAACTTTCTTTTATATATATATTTTTATATATATGTATATAATTAGTGAACATTAACTGTCTCGCTTGTTAATGTTAGTTATAGCTTAGTTCTCTTTTTTTCTTTTTTTTTTTTTTCTTTTTGTTAACAAATGCAGTTCTTATGTAATTCTTCGTTGTTAATGTTATGCATCTTTTAGTTTTAAAAGTGAATTAGTAAATGTTGTTATGTGTGATTTAAGTCATGCTGCAGAAGTACTTTTCACTGTTAGTTTGTAACCGCAACAATACACTAAATACACAGAAAAATCTGTATTAGAACTTTATTCTCCATTCTCTGTTACAGTTTCTCTAGACCTGACTGCAGTAGTAAGCACTGGCCCACTGATTATCAAAGCTCAACAATCTGCTCCACAAGCCACACTGCTGGCACTGTCAGACTACAGCACTAAGTCTAGCCCTACAGCCAGAGACGACTCTGATAAAAGATGGATCGTAGCAGGTGACTCTTTCTCTGCGAGCTCAATGCAAAATGTTGGCAATGTCTCCCCCTGGCCTGTCCAACGTGGCTTTGGAGGAGGTGTGGTGGTCATCAGCCAGGGTCTGGGAGGTGATTTAGCAATGTGGCTACCAGACATCTTGGAGCTTGAGTTAAACCCAGTGGTGCAGATGGGGATTGGTTATCCAGAAAATCCTGTTGTTGATATAACCTTTCAAAATGGTGAGCTCTTTAGAAAGCTGAAACCAGATGAAAGCTCTGAGAAGAGTCCGGTAGTTGTTGTGGATGAAGGACAAGCTTATGTAGAAGCTGTGAATTCACATGATGTTGTAAAGAATGGGTTGGCCATGTGGCAACTTGATGATGTTGACCACTTGTATAAGATTCAGGAAAAACCTGTTGTGACCGCAGCAGCTCACCTAGAACCGCCTCAACTGAATCTTGAATCTGAATTTGACTTCCCTCCAAATGACCAGCCATTGATCAGCCCTACTCCAGGTAAGCTCTCCGAGAGTGCTGAGGATGGAGAAGTTGTATTCAGACAGGCCGAGATGGTCTTTAAAAGCGCTAAAGGAGCCAAGTTATCAGAGCCAGTTCTCTACTCTAAACTGAGTCTGAATCGAGCTGTAAATGGATCCAGTTTTCTCAATTATGAAGAACAGAAGAGGCCCAGCATGAACAAACAGGACAATAAGAGACTGGAGAGGAATGGCGAGAAAAGTCAAAAGGATGAGCTGGTGGAGGGTACCTCTAAAATTAAAAGCCTGGTTTCATCCCTATTGGATCAACTGAGGTTAGTTGACTAGTTGTTAATTTTATTAAAGGTCTATCATGATGTTAATCTGTTCTCTTTTCATTTGACCGTAGAAGACTGTGGACTGTGCAGTGACCCGTTTTTCATCATGCCTTGGTGTGAAGTGATTTATGTATTTGGACTTTCAACCTAAATAAAGTTGTTTTTCCTGATTAGATATTGTCTCATTAATTATATGAAGGTAGAATGACGTCAAAAAGATTTGCATACGCCGGGTAAGAGTTGTGGAAGTGTACAGAAGACTGTAAGTGTAAATTAAATTAGCATGCGTAAGACGCTTTGTAAAGGTGTAAATTGCGTTTCAAGCCTAAGAAATTATTTGCAGCATTTTACGGTTACTCGTAAGTGTAATTAATGTATTGTGAAACTGCAGCTTCATGCTAGGGCAAAATATGATCTGCATGCTTCTGACTTCCTTTTTTTTTTTTTTTTTTTTTTTT